GAATATGAGACAATCAAGGAGTAGGATTAGATTATTGTGTTGTTATGAGTAAAGTAATAAAAAAGCTCGCTTATGAGTTAACATTTAACAATAAATCACCGAGTAGGATGTACAATTTGGCTATAAAGCATAGTTTGACGTGAATCATTCAGATAATGTATAAGTCTGCTGTGTGAACGAAAAAAATCTAGTGGGGGCTAGCCTCAGTACTATCATCGCTAGGGGATTGGTAGATTCTAAAATAGTCAACTATAAAGTTTAAAAGAATTCTAGGCATTCTAATTATGAAGTTAGGCCTACTCTGAATTAATCAGGGAAAAGTCAAACAAGTCTTTGAACACCAAACGAGTCAGTTTATGATCGCTATATTATACATTTACTGATCACCTGAGCCCGGATTAGGGTTGTGGTGAGCAAAGAATTTTCATTTTATTATACAGCATGGTGTACACTGGTAAATGGACAGTAAAAGTATCCAAACTCCACTATGCAGAATTGGTTTTTCAGGAAAACATCCTCTACAACTAGCTGATTGGGCTAGTCTTCCAATAAAATTGAATAATAAAATAGGTAAAGCAAATTATTAGAGGCTATAGACCAAAATCTGGCAAAATTATTGACAGAGGGACACAGAACTTCAACCAAGATATGTCAGAGAAAAACACAAGAATCCCAACGATTAACAAAGTATAATAAATGAAATAATTTAAACATTAAAGTAATGCGTAAAACTATTAGCTATATTGGGAATACGCCACCCATTTGCTTACCCTGAGCTAATGAAGGAGATCGCTTGAAACTAATTAAAGAGCGACGAAAAGCCCTCCGTCTGGAATCGATAGAAGCAGCCATGCCCAGGTGATTTGGTAAGATATCTGCTTCAAGACGTTCGTTGGTATGAAGCTGCATTTCAGAGTGATATTTCTCTATCTCATGTTTATCAAGATGGTGCTGGGCATGAGCATCATCCTCCTCGGCTGAGACAAAAAAATCGTCATCTTCCGGGTCGACAACGCTCGATGTGAACGTTAGAGAATCCAACTCAAGATCACTAATGCCAAAAGTGGATGAATATGGGACTGGGGTTGAGGCCGCACCGGATAAAATTCGGATAGGCGAGATCGCGTCTTCTGAGGCGATTTCAGAAAGCTGTTTGGATTCTTGTGAACGGAGTCCAGAAATCACAAGTGCTGCTTCATCAAGACGAGCACTTCGTGAATCAAGAGCCAATACGAGGTCTCCGCTGCCAAGGAATAGTGGAGAGACACAAACAAAGGTCAATGATGTTACGCAAATGGCATCACATGGCCTGTGGTGCAAGATGGACTTCAAAACCGTATGTGCGAGCACCAAACCCATTAATTTTATTATAAAATGTAGTCGAATAGCACACAGTACACCGATATAGCGGAATATCTGATAGCGTCGGATGTAATATTGACACAAAAAACAAGGTAATGAATTGTAGGCGAAGAGATTTACTCCACTGTCAAGGACACTGGACACGAAGCTCGCGGATGCGATTGAGGCTTGGCGAAATCGCCAACTACAAATGAGCTGAGAAAGTAGCTCAAATGCTAAATAAATGGAAAATAAACCTTGTGGATATTACGGAGAAAGAAAAAGGACACAATAAAACAGAACATACGAATAAAATAATTATGTATTTATAGAATATAGCTAAACAGAATGAAAAAAGATTACGAATTGCATTTATTACGACGATCAAGCACACTATAGAAATAAGGGGAGCAAAACAATGCAAAAACCAAGTAATGAAATAAAATAGTTGTTGCATTGCAAGACTGTATTTGGCTTAAAACCGCATCTTTTATCAACAGTGAAAGGTAAAAAGGGTTGATAAACACGACATCGCATAGTAAAAATGCAATGAAATAGGCCAGAAAGGAAGAGAATTCTTTACAAAAGAAATGTTTCAAAAGGATGGAAACGATTTACCACAAAAGAATTTTCAACAATATTGGAAGGAAGGAAAAAGAAAAAGGCGAAAAATGTCAACCTGATGGTCCAACCAAAAAGCCAGGCCGTTTCCCGGGCCAAGCTTCTTTTGCATATTTTTTCTTTTTAGGTGCATTTTCCTCTACAGAAGAAGTTACCATCTGTCTTTTAGCAGTATCTGTAGGTCCAACATGGTCTAAATCTGACCCAGGCATATTGCCTAGGATATCAGCTGAAGTCAGCGCATTCGAGGGACCAGTAGTAGAATCAATGGCATTTGAACGCTCTTTTGGGTGCACATGAGAATGCAAAAATAGCAATGAAGCCGGTAACTTAGGTTCTTCCCCTTCATCGACCTCAGGGGCTAAGTTTGGAAGGGGAAGACCAAGGCGTGTAGCCAGGCGAGCGCTTGGAGTGAGAGGCAAAACACTTGCTGACTGAGCAAAAGTGACGGAAGAGGCAGCTGAAGGCTGAAGGAGACGGCCATTGCTAGTTGCACCTCCGGCGAAACTTAAATCCTCTTTTTCGGATACACCTAAATTTGCACCTTCGTGATTGCCCTTCGCTCTCTAAAAAATAGTAAATAAAAGTTTATTAAATTTTTTTATACTTAAAATAATTAGCAATGTCATATATTAGAATCCGAATTACCTTATTTGGAATAAAAGTCTCCTGAACTAGATTTCTAAATCTACCGACGTTTGGATCGACATCTTCGGGATTGATGACTTCGTCTGTGTCGTTGAAGTGGACGAATTGGTTGGGCCTCTTTCGCTTTGATCGCCTACTAGCATCGTCCGCACCAGCAGACATATCAGTAAGTGATGAAATCCGTCGATTATGTGCCGTATTAAACTCAGTTAAGTTATCTAATTCTACTTCTGAGTGTGGAAATTGAGTATAATTTAATGAAATGAATGAATTTCCGTCAGAATCTCGTGTTACAGAAGAAACAACTCCATCTTTTGCACCATCAGCAACGTTGTCAACTGTTGTAAGGCTATATAATGGAGTAGGTCGCTCACGAAGAACATACATGCGAGTAGACGCGCCGAAATGTAACTCAGAGTCTATAGGAACCTAAATAAAAAATATATTAAGA